ACCTTGAAGAAGATGGAGCTTATATTAGAACACTTGAAAGTTTTTTGTTTTTGTTTTTTCACCACGGCTCTATCGCCTCTCACAAATAACAATATTGCATCACTGTTTTGCTAATGTTTACATTGCCTAATACAAAAGACAGAATGTACTTGACCATAAAGCACTAATGGCGCGAACTGAGAAAACCATATCAACCAAAAAAAAATTCCCATTCTCTCTTTTCCATTTCTCTTCCTCTTCCTTTCCTTCTCCTTATTTTACTTCTTTTGCCTCTCCTTTAACCTTTTCCTCATCCCAACTTTCCTCATTCCCTAGCTCATTCCCTCTCTCCATCCCACTCCATGTCCTGTTCCCTATTCATTCCTCACTTCACCCCATTCCTTGTCACTTTATCCACTAACTCTACCACTCCCTTACCCTATTCTCTCACTCCCACTCCCTCTCCCTCTTCTTCCCCCACTGCCACTCCCTCTTCTTCTCCCACTCCCTCTCCTCTTCTTCTCTTATTCTTCTTCCCCTACCCCTACTTCTCCCTCTCCCACTACTTCCACTGCTGCCACTCCTACTCACTCTTCTCCTACCACTCCCTCTCCCTCTCCCTCTTCTTCTCCCTCTCCCACTCCCACTCACTCTTCTACCACTCCCTCTTCTCCCTCACCCACTCCCACTCACCTGATGGAAAGACGCTCCCTCAGGGCACAGCCAGGAGTGCTTCACGCTATCTTGGCAGTAATGGAAGACCTCACAATCCACCTCCTCGTCAGCGTAATAACCATTCTTCTTGGAAGCGCAAGTGAAGTGGGAATCCTGCAGCAAGATCGAGAGGCGGTCGGGTTCTTCCTCCTCTTCATCGTCTTCGCCTTCTTCGTCGTCGTATTGGTACTCGACGAGAGGGTCACGGAGGGGACGTTGACGGGTCTGAGGTGGAGCTTCCTCGATGACGTTGTGCTGCAGGAGGAGGTCAGAGGTCAGAGGTCAAGTCAGGGTAGGTCGAGTAGGGGGACGATGATGATGATAATAATACGATTGTATGGTAATTTGTGATATTATGAGAACGCTAACGACGTTGAAGGATGTCGATTTTGATGATGATTATCATTACCATCATTTGTGTTATTAGTGTTATTATGGTTCATTTTATGGGCATTATAACTTTAATTGCCGTTGTTATCGGTTCTAATATTATTGGTTTTCTTACCCTCATCAGTATCATTATCATCATAGCCATTATCATCCTCATAACAGGATAGTAATGATAATAATAGTTTTAACAGTGCTTATGGTGATAATAATGAAGATAAAAGTAGTGGTAATTATAATGAAGTGGATGATGAGAATGTTAATGACATCTGCCTAATAATGATAATGATATTCATAATGATAGTGATGATAACGATTGATAATTGTCATAGAGATAATACTATTGATACTGATCATAATAACACTGATGATAATGATGAGATTCATTGTAACAACAAAAATGATAATCAAAACAACAAAAACACTGATAAAACGAAAGCAACGACATTTCCAGAAATAGCAACAATAATTCTCACAGTCACTCGAGAAATTTAGCGCAAGTCAAGCGAATAAACTCCTCAGTCTTTCACCTATAAATTTAACGACATCGAGAAACTTCAAAGATTAGGGTCAATGTTTGTTTTTTTATTTCGAGAATGAAGATAAGGATTTGATTAAATAGAGATTGACATCTAATCCTAGTTAACGTGGGAGTGAAACGCACGAGTAAACAAGAAAAAAGTTGAATGCAGAATCATGAACTTTCGTGAACGCTGCATTATGAAAAGAATTTCTCCAGTGCAAAATACTTCTCTCCAACGGATGATAGTAACGGTAATGGTAATAATGATAATGACAACAATAATGTTAATAATTATAGTAGTAAAAGCGATAGAGATGGTAACTAATCACTAAAATCTAAATAAAAATGAAAAACAAGAATAGCACTATACTGCATTATACTAACCACCACACTTTCAATGAAAAAAACTAGTCGAATAGATAAAAAATACAACAGGAAATTAAAAAAAAAAAAAAAAACAAGCATAAACCGAATCCAAAAATACACCCACCAGCATACACACTCCACTACAAAAAAAGAACACACTCCCCCCCACCTCCACAACACACACAGAACCAAGGGATAGTCATCCTCCTACAAGAAAGACAACTAAGCCAGGTGGTTAGCGTGTGGTTAGAAAGTGGTAGCAGGCAGACGTCTCAGGGAAGAGGAGGGAAAGTGGTCGATTTTCTCCCGCCGGCCAAGAGCTGCTGAGTCTAACGTGGCGGTGTGTTTACGCGTGTGACTGTGCGGTGAGCATGCAAGTGTGCGTGTGGAAGGCGAGTGCATTTCGTTGGAAAAGGTGTGTGCATGTAGCTGAAATGTGCGTATTGGTGCATGTACGTGGATGTGTGTGTTTTATATATATATATATATATATATATATATATATATATATATATATATATATATATATATATATATATATGTATATATATATATATATATATATATATATATATATATATATATATATATATATATATATATATATATACATATATATGTGTGTGTGTGTGTGTGTGAGAGTGTGTGTATGTATGGATGTATGTATATTTGATATATATATTATATATATAACATTTATTACATATATATACTGTATATATATGTAAGTGTGTATGTGTGTGTGTGCGTGTGTGAGTGTGTGTGTGAGTGAGTGTATGTGTATGTGTGTGTGTGCGCGTGTGTGATATCCTATACAAAATACACTTGTGTGTATTGATAGGATTTGTAAGACACATATCCAATAGTATTATACAGATACGTGTATTTTTTATTTTTACTATCATCATTATTATCATTATGTGAGTACTATGATTGTGCTCCTACTACTATCATTACAACTACCATTAATAATATAGATGATGATAATGATAAAAATGATGATGATGATGATGAGAATAATAAGAGGAATCATGATAATCGTAATAATAATGATAATAATAACTGCAATGATGATTTTGATGATAATAATAGCACAAGTAGAAATAATCATTATCATCATTACTCTTATTGTTATCATTATCATCTTCATCATTTTATTATTGATATTATCATTATTATGATAATAACTAAATCATTGGGTGTGGCAAGAATGATAATAATAACAGTAATAACGATAACAATGATGACACTAAATCATGATGAGTAATGATAATAACTATATAACTATAATGACTACTGGGAATGTATGTGGTAATAACCATATTAGCACTTAAACTAAACTAAATATATAAATAAGAAAGTAAATAGGTTATTCCATCATGCAGATTTCGCTAAAACAAAGGCGAATCATGACCAAGCATCTTTTTTTTATGCAGTGTTTACGTTGTCTTACGAAGATAGAGAATGAGTAAATTGATGAATAAGTGCAAATAAAAACTAAAAAGTTATCGATATTTTTTTTTCTTTTATCTTTTCCTTTTCTCCCCCTCCACCCTTTCCCACGCAATGCTTACCAGAGGGAACTGATTAGGATGCGACGGGAACCGGCTCTGAGATGGGCGTGGTCGCTGTGAGGGGGGGCGGGGACGTCTAGAAGGGGGCGCTGACAAGACGTCGACCACCTCCTGCGTCTCCTCCTCGAACTGGTGCGGTCCCTCCACCTGCTGATGGGGAACGAGGGTTTCGGGGGCGCCGTGCGAGTCCTCGGTGGCCGCAGGAAGGTCGTGGTCGGGTTGGAAGAAGGGCGTGGCTTCGAGACTACTTCCTTCGTCGTCCCGGAACCTTTCGTGGCTCTGACGGGGGCCCTGCACGTCATCGGCGAAGAGCGGACCGAAGTCGTCGCCCTCGCTGAACGACACCTCCTCCCCGGAAAAGATGTCTTCCTCGCGCGGGATGAAGTTGGGGTTGTCGAACTCCGGCCGCGGGTTCAGGGGCAGCTGGCCCAACGTCTGTCCCTGGCCCGGTCGGAACCCTGGCCCGCCCTGGGGTCTGAACGCGCCCGGAGGAGGAGGTGGTGGAGGTGGTCCTCGGAAACCTGGAGGGGGCGGGAGGGGAGGGCCTCTGAATGGGGGTCCTCCTCGAGGTGGGCCCTGGAACTGCCTGCGGTGTGGTGGGCCTCGCCTCGGGGGACCTGGTCTTTGCTGCCCCTCGACGGCCAGCGCCACCACGGCCAATATCAGAAACGCTCGCATTCTGTGCTGCAAGTTAGAAGACAGAAGGTTAGCATCATTATCAACGCGTTTTTAAAATCCACTCGAATCTACCACTCTGTAATATTCTTCACATTACCACCATGCTTCGGTTTGTCAAAGTACATGTATCTACTGTTGTTTGTTGATCAAGTTGTTCATTAAGTGTTACGCACTGACTTTCTCATCAGTTTCTCTTCAGCCTTAAGATTCTTGCAATAATGCAAGGTCCGAGTACAGAATACACATATAATTCAGTACACTTTCGTTCACTAGTTATCTAAAAATAACTTTATCATGTGTTCCGTTATGTGGAAACATACTTTTCGAATACCACTTTCACTATCAATGAAACTAGTAGGAAAAAGAAGGAAGGTTGATTTTCTCTTTTTCTTATTTTCCTAATCTCTCTCTCTCTCTCTCTCTCTCTCTCTCTCTCTCTCTCTCTCTCTCTCTCTCTCTCTCTCTCTCTCTCTCTCTCTCATTCACTCACTTTCTCTCTCTATCTTCCTCTTTCTTTTAGTGTAAACTTGCAAACCTGAATATACATATTTACAACTAGTAACCATCCATTTTTAAACGAAATCCAAATAACTTCACACAATATATTAACTGGAAACACTAACTGAAAATCGTTCACTGTGTTAAAGGGGAAACATATTTACACATAGAATCGTCCGTATCATTCATATCAACAAATCTATCACTTAAACACCATTCAGATTCTCCCATAGCCACGTGTCATTATTTTCACTATGCAAGTTATGCGACCTCATGTTTAA